AGTTATTTGAGATTATATTTGAGTTTGGCGAAGTCTCCAAAATAGAAACATTAGATATAAATTTATCTTGTTGTCCAAGTCATACCATCCTTCATTCTTACATTGTTATGTTGACACCACTTCTAGCCCCAAGTGTTTGTTTTCCCTTATGCTAAAAAATAAACAGTAGATTTTGAAATAAATAGATTTAAAGTTAGCCACAGCTCTGCCCCTAAGTCCCTGTGGAACTTTAAGTAAAGCTACTTAATCTGCTGGGCCTCAGTTTCCAAATTTGTAAAGTTTGCAAAATAATGGTCCCATCTAGTTCTGTGATTCTTTTGGTCGATTAGCATAGTTACTAGAACACTGAAAATATCTTGACGTTAATTGTTCCTACGTGTTTCATAAAAATGTGGTTTTCTATGAAGAACATTTTAAAGTTATTAGGCCATTATCAATTATAGCAGCTCATTATAACAAAAAGTAAATAAACATTTAAATCTTTTTAATCCCAATTATTTTTACTGATAATGTTCTTCCTAATTTGTTGCCTGTTCGGTGTTTACATATACATACAATGATCTTCAAAACATAAATCTAAAATATTTTAACTTTCTTTTTGAAATGATATGCACATTTTCAGTGAAAATCATGTAACTTTTTTTTTTAAGAACTCAAGTACCTCTGATGCTATTCTGAGGTTATTGCATCTGATTTCTAGTAGCTTAAGATCTAGAAGTTTTCCCTGACACAGTATTAATACCTATTTTGTAGATGGGGAACTTAAAGTGAAAAAGACTAAATGTAAAATAGTCAAGGCAATTAAATTGTAAGGTCAAGCTTATAACTCCAAAATCTATTTCTTTAAACACTAATTTGAGCACAAAGTAAAAATTTTGAATAATAAAAAATTTTCATTTAGTGTAGTTAGGCCGCTGTGAGATAAACTTCTCTAAAATCTGAGGCCTCATAAAACGATGAGTCAAATTAGTGTAGCATATATCCAAATATTTGAGTATCCACTCTGTACCAAGCACTGGGCAATCACTAGGACCACAATACAATACAAGTGAAAACAAACATTTGGCCCCTACTGTCATGGAACTTAGTGTTGTGCAAAAGAAAGACATTCCAATAATTACACAAATTAGTGAGATAAATGCCACAAAGAAACGGTATGCAGTTTATATTAGACTTTTAAACAAAGAATGGGTAGGGAGCATCAGAGAAGTTTTTTCCAGAGGAAGTGAACTTGAATAATGATCTGAGGGATGGGGCCATTCCAGACAGGTAACAGCATACACAGAGGCCTCCCAGGAGAAAGTATGTTTGAGGAATTGAATGAGGTCTGATGTGGCTGGGGTGTGGAAAATGAGATACAAGATGAGGCTGGCAAATAGGCAAGGGCTCTTGCAGATTATGCAGAGTCATAGGCCTTGGTAAGGATTTTAGTTTTTATCTTAAGAGCACTGGGAAGCCATTAAATGGTTCATGGCCAGGATATGCCATGATTTGATTCATGTTTTAGAATGGTCACTGTCTGCCAGGAGGAGAATGTATTATAAAGAGGTTGGCAGACACTGCTAGTTATACCCTAATACCTGTTGCCCCCTTCTATAGTAATAGATCCCTCAATTTTTATCTGGGCACATGGCTGCCTAGTATAAAGAATACTTTCCCCAGCTTCCTCTGTAGTTAGGTATGGCCTTGTGACTAAGTTCTGGTCAATGGGAAGTGAGTGTGATCTGTACAATTTCTGAGCCATTCCCTCAAAGGTAAGGGAGGAATGTTCTCCTTGCCTTTCCCCCCTTTCTGCTGGCTAGAATGTGAACATAGTGGTGAGATGTCTTTGATCACGTAGACAAGAGGAACACCTTAGAGTTGGCAGAACAACCTAGGAGCCTAGGCCCCTGATACTGTAGAGCTGTCATACTGGTTTTGAACTGCTTACCATCAGATGGTCACATGAGAGAAAAATAAACTTCTATCTTGTTTAAGCCACCATTATTTTTGAGTCTCTGAACAGCAGTCAAACCTGTATTCTACTAATGCAAGAGGCAAAAATGAAAGCAAGGGACCAACTAGGAGACAATTACAATAGCCCAAGTAAGAGATAATAGTAGCAAATGAGATGGAGAGAAGTGGATATACTCAGTGTAAATTTTGGAGGTAACACTGAAATACAGATGCTGGCATCTTGCCTAATTCTAATGGTCTAATTATTTCTTTAAAAATTCCAACACTCAGAGAGCAGAGTGGTTTGGTCGTTCGTTGTGGGAGCGTTATCTGTTTGCCCAGCGACTGTGGCTCTCCTTTGGGCCACCAGACGCGGCGCCGCGGTCCGTGAAGCGGCCTAAGACTTTGGCGTTTAGTGAAAAATGGCCCGAAGCAAGCAGACTGCGCGTAAATCTACCGGGGAGAAAGCCCCCCGCAAACAGCTGGCCACCAAGGCTGCCAGAAAGCGCGCTCCCTCTACCTGCGGGGTGAAGAAACCTCACCATTACAGGCCCGGAACCGTGGCGTTTCGAGAGATCCACCGTTATCAGAAATCCACCGAGCTTCTGATCCGGAAGTTGCCTTTCCAGAGGCTGGCGAGGGAGATCGCCCAGGATTTCAAAACAGACTTGAGGTTTCAGAGTGCGGCCATCGGTGCCCTGCAGGAGGCTAGTGAAGCGTACCTGGTTGGGTTATTTGAAGACACTAATCTGTGTGCCATCCACGCCAAGAGAGTCACCATCATGCCCAAAGACATCCGGATACGGGAGGAGAGAGCTTAAGTAAAAGGCAGTTTTTCTGGTGTTTTGTAGTAAATTCTGTAAAATACTTTGGTTTAATTTGTGACTTTTTTTGTAAGAAATTGTTTATAATATGTTGCATTTGTACTTAAGTCATTCCATCTTTCACTCAGGATGAATGCGAAAAGTGTTCACAGACCTCAGTGATGTGGGCACTATTGCTCAGGAGTGACAAGCTGCTGATCTGCAGAAGGGATGGGTGATACTTCTTGCTTCTCATGATGCATGTGTTTCTGTATGTTAATGACTTGTTGGGTAGCTATTAAGGTACTAGAATTGATAAATGTGTACAGGGTCCTTTTGCAATAAAACTGGTTATGACTTGAAAAAAAAATTCCAACACTCAAAAAAATTTCCCCCAAAAAATCACAAAGGCAATTAAAAAAAAGTGACATATAGATGACTTTCAGGTAATTTGCTGTCATACAGTTTTAGCCATACTTGGCTTTGGACATCAAATTATTTTATAATATTAGATCCTGGTTATTCCTTTAATTTGACTTGGGCTAATATCAAAATTAATTTTTATTCCTTTTGAAAATACACCAAGTTGGAGTCACCCAGTCCAGAATTAAAAGCCTGCTGTGAATGATCAAGTGTTACCTGTATTCCATTAGGAACACATCCCCGTGCTTCCTCATCTTTAAATTGGTTGGCCATAGATGTTTTTCAGCCATGTGGAAAAAATTGAAACATTCCTTGTCTAAGAGATGAGTAATTCCCTTCTCTGTGTCTTTATTAAGTTACTTCACCAGGTGACTAAAAAAGTCTATAATATTAACAAATGTTTGAAGCAGTACTATATAGCAGTGGTTCTCAAACTTGTCTTCATATTGGTATGACAGAGTTTTAAAAAATTACTGTGCTTAGGTCTCACCCCTGAGTCTCTAATTAGGGTGCAGCCTGGACATGGGGATAGTTAAAAGTTCTCCAGGTGATTCTAATGTGCAGACAAATTTGAGAACCATTGGTATATAGTACTATCTCAAGCAATTGTTAGTTTTATTAGAGCTCGTGCTTTATCTAATACTTTGAACTTACCTCCTATGCAGGTGCTACAAGTTCATCTGCTCATCCTCCAGCAAATTACCTTAAGAGTTAATAGGAGAATTGGATGAATGGGTATTTATTGTTCTAGGACTAATTTTACTCAACTGCAAATTTTTAAAAACCAATCCACAGTCACTTTTTAAGTTATGACTTTCTCTGAAAGCCATAAAAGGAAAACATAAAAAGCACTTATATACAAGGTATATAATGCTGGTTATCATATCAAGTCATGCGATTCAACCTCCAGGGCAATTTAACCTAACATTTTAGTAAAGTTATCTTTAATACACCAGCACTGCCACAAAGTGTTATTGGAAAGTTGTCGTTTTTAAGGCATGTAATGATGTAACTTGTGCAAAAATATGATGTAAAGATCTGAAACTAGTATGTTAGGATTATTTTGCAAAATTTGACTTCTAATAGATGTAGCTTACCTCTCACTAATCTGTTTGTAAACTATTTCATGAGAAATTCTTCCTAAAAAACAATTTAATAACTAGCAGAAAAAGTTAAATCAAATTTCTAGGACTTTACTAATTATTTGCATGTCAAATGCTAGTGTTGAATTTATCACAGATGTCTGTCCATTAGCAATCAGCAAACGAATGGTTTTGATGATAATAACACTTCTCTTTTCAGCTTGATGGTAGTTTGTTTTTTGTCATGTGGGTACAGGCTTTATTATGAACTCTAACATATCAAATGTTAGTGCTAGTACCAAAATAATAAACTATTTGTGTTTACTCTTAAATAGATCACAAGCTAATACACATGATCTTTAAACTTTCAGTTCAATTCCATAAATAGTTATTGAAGTGATTAATGTGTGTAAGGTGCTACTATGCCAAATACTGTAGGGGGATACACAGATGAGTAATTTGTAGCTATGATATGATAGAAAGGTTTATATTTGTATTGTGCATCTGTTGGGATTTATTCAGCAGATTCTGTGGCTAATTCCCTGAACTCCTCCCCTCTAACTAGTGGTTCCTACCTGCAGGGTCCACTCCAACATTAATCTCTCAGATGCCTAGGGGGAAGACACAGCTTTATGGATCATCTCCTTTAACAATGTCTCCCGTTTTCCTATTTTCTGTGGCCCTGCCCCCTTGACTCCAGTGGTTTTCCTGATCCTAGACTACTTGTCTTGGACTTTGGGCCTTTGTGCCTGCCTTCCGTTTGACCTGGTGACTTTTTGCTTCTCTGACAGCCTAATGCCTGTTTGTCTACTTTGCTGACTCTTTGCCCAGTCAGACTCCTGATATCTCTGTTTGTTTTGGTGCATCTACTCCTTCACCAGCCCTTGGTACACATTCCAATCTCCCTATCCCAGCAATCTGCCCAAGTGCTGCTAGGGTCCAGTGTACTCCTGATTAAAAACAAAGCTAAAAATAAAGGAGGCAATAAAATAAAGCTGTCTATACATTTGAAAGAACTAAACTGAAAAGCTCTGAATGTTAAAAATTAAACCTTGAAGATTCTGTTTTTTAGAGTATAACACATGGGACATAAAATTTAATGGAAGACAGCAATGCATAGATACCGTGGGCAAGGTGAGGATGACATAGGACAGGGCAGTGTTTCCTTCTGTTGTACATGGGGTTGCTATAAGTCAGAACCAACTCGATGGCACCTAAGAACACCACCACCAAGGGCAAGGCACTGTACTTTAGAGGAAAGGATCTCTAGCCACTGAGATATGTTTACTTTTCAATGAATAAACAAGGCAGCAGAGGATATTCCTTGGGGAGTCTGCGAAGAAAAAAGATCCACAAAACAATAAGAGGGGGAAAGGCTGTAAAAATAAATTCAGCTAATGCTATAGCGATTAAAATTGCACATCTTAACTTACTCCCAGCTGAACTGGTTGACAGCATATTTCAGCAGGGCTTGGAAAAAAACCAGTTTGGTGCTTTAGATATTCTGAGAGAGGTGACGTTCCGCCCTGTCACGTGGGAGTCCCAAGAGTCTAGTTCCTCATTCCAGTCCGCTCCAGGTTTATGAAAGTGCATTAGCTGGAACAATAAGAAGGAAAAAACTTCAGTTCAGGAAGCCATCCAATCCTGATAAGTTGACATGTAGAATAAAGTTGATGGTGTTATTTATTGCTAAGGTAGTCCTGGTTAAGGGTCATGTGTGTATACAGTTGTAGGAGGGGCAGGCAAAGGGAAATTTAGGTAAAGTGAAACAGAGCTGATGTATTCAGAGCTTATGTTGCTAGAGGTGAGATCAGTTACCTTCTTGCAACTGAAATTTCAGACTTCTGCTTAGCAGGGACGTGAGCGGACAATGGTGACTGATTGTTGGAAATATCAGCAGACATCTTAAATTTTATGCTCAAATGAACGAGCAATGAACCAGGAGAATAAGTCTAGTTTTTTTCTGCTTCGTGTAATTATCTTCTTATTTAAGATTTCAGCCTCTTTTTCAATGAATGCCTGTGTGACTGTGACTTATTACGATGAAATCAGCAACTATACTACAACAGAGACATGCGAATGTGGTGTTTATGGATTAGCCTCACCAGTGACTAATGCTATGGGGGTAGTGGGCATCCCTAAGAACAATAACTACCAGGCTTGTGACTACAACACGGAGTTTACTAATGCTAAGAAGCCCTGGATTGCGCTGATAGAAAGAGGCAATTGTACCTTTTCAGAAAAAATTCAAGCAGCGAGCAGAAAAAATGCTGATGCTGTTGTGATTTACAATGTTCCACAGACTGGCAACCAAACGATACAGATGGCAAATTTTGGTAAGTAATAATCAACTCCCAAAGAGGGTTAATGTCGTTGTTTATCTTAAAATGGTATTTCCATCTAGAATTATCCGAGGACCCGGCAGTGAGGTTGAAAAATGATTTAACTTTAAATTTTCTTGCCTTGAACTACTTGGAATTACTTTACTCTTACTTAATATTTTTAATGAATTTGTCCAAGGACAATAGCAATTTGTGAAGTGGTTATTTTCTCTCAGGTTTTCTCAGCCGTATTTGTTTTCTAAGTGTGTATCATTTAATTGCTTTTTTAATAAACTGTGTCTCTACCTGTTAACATTAAAGGAAAGATGACATTTTAATTTCATTATTAATTTGTACTTTTCAGTTTGATTCATTTTCTCATTCAGAAAATGTTGCACGTATTCAAGTATGTGGTACCTGAAAAACTGATTCATTATTATGATTAAACAATAGCATATTGTGTGTAAAATATTTACAGAAATGAGAATTCAACTATATGCTGTATGTATGTAGGATTTGAATCTATTTGTAGGACTGATGCATCTAAAACTACCCTGTAAGAATCATCATCCATTAAAAAGCATATGGCAAAAATATGATGTAACTGTAATTCCCATCAAAAGTAAAGATTTTCCTATATTAGCGCTTCTTAAGTAAATAGAATCATCTAATTTATTAATTTTGTAAAGGAATTTACTTCTGAGAATTATTATTTTATTTTGTAATAATGCCACTTTCCAAGTAATTTTTTTTTACCAGAAAAGAAGTAGACTTCTGACCCAAGTTTTCTACACTGTGGGTATGTGTAATTTTTTTGTCCCAGATTTGGCAAAAGAAAAAAATTGGAATAATGTCGAAAAGGAAAGGGCTGATTGTAAATGAATACATAATTGGTGTTATAAACCACCGAATTTGGTCTCTATGAAAACTAAGGCAAATGAAATTAAACAAATGTCAGAATTGTAAAAGGGAGAAAATCAAATCTGTCTTAAGAATGGAAGATTGGTTGGATCATTCCAGGTTGTATACATGCAGTGTGGCAGTTTAGTAGCAATGTTTGAAAACTAAGCTACTTGTTTCACTTGGTATCAAAAAAAACAAACAAACAACAACAACAAAAAAAACCAAACAGGTTAGATGGTCTTTCAGAAGCACAAAATTACTGTAAATATACACAATTCTACGTTCAACCTTTTGTAGCACATCCTGGACATTGCCAGAAGTAGGGCATTCTTCTTTTTTTCAACTTAAGAGCATTTCATAAGCATTCTCTGCACATTCCTGTACTTTTAGAAGTGACTTTCCTTTTTGTAGAAACAAAAATGAGGCAGCTTTCTAATGAAAATTGAGAATTAAACATTTTATAAGGAAGCTACTTCCTTTATATTTAATTTAGAAATTCTGTGTACTCTAGGTTTCCTTTGCGTGGACAATCATATTCTGCTTGTTCACTCCTCTGCTATTTTTTAAAGGGTAAAGAGTATCAAACTAAATAGTAGTCCAGTTCTCAAAACTTGCTTTATAACCTGAAGTAGGGGCCAACA